TTATTCATATAAATTGTTTGGAGTTATCTATAGAAAAACTGCTAGGTGGTTTTATTTACTCTATCTTACAAAGAAAATCAGAAAATCTTATTGGTCTCCACAGATACCAGAGTACTAACAGATAACTGCAATACCTTGTGGCACACTCCCAATTTAATGGTTTCTTTGAGTAATGGTGAGCTAAACTTAAATGCACCAATTTATGGTATATATGTAAATAATCGAATAGAGAAAATGTTTGGAGTTGTAAAAAATGATTTAGGTTCCCGTTGAAGTCATATAAAAACAGTTAAGTTAAGTATCTTGTGTAAAAGTATTGTATGGCAGTCAGAATTAACAACCCGGCTGTTGACAATTGACAGCTGCAAACATCAAAGATCAAATTAAATTGACATGAAAAATGGAAGCCAGGAAGCATTTCGAGCATAAATCATTTAAGTGTACTTAGCGGAATGGAAACATAAATTATGTGCAATATGCAGAAGACAACGCAAATGGGCGAAAACAGCAGCAAATCTGAACAGGGAGTAGCGATCAGTTACGCAATTGCAAGATCAGCACAGGCCGCTGCTATATAGAATGCTAGAAATCGTACAGATAAATAATAAAAATAAATGCAAAATACTTGTACGCTTGCAGCATCCAGCATCCAGCGTTCAGCAGTCAGCATACCTTGCATACGAGTGTGGAGCTTATGTTGCAAGGTTGCGCGTTAAATGCACAAATGTACAAGAATTTTAAATGCACACAAATAAAATTACGATTAATTTATTGCAGTTGCAGCGTAAATGTGTCAGTAGTGAATGCCGCCGCATACAACATGTGATATGCTCACAAAAGCAACAAACAAGAAGAAGCAAATGTTGCAATTGCACCGTTACGTAGGCAAAGTGTAACTGAAGTTCTTGACCGACACCGCAATGCAACGAATGCGAATGCGAATGCGAACGCTAGTGTGAGTGTGAGTGCGAGTGCAAGTACCGCATTCGAATACTGGCTGTATGGCTATTGGCCATTAGCAGGAAACATCGTATCGCTGGCCTTGTTACAATTTACTTTATTTTATTTTATTGCAGACACTTTTCAGTGTTTGTGTTGCCTGCTTTAATGATCACTTTGCTCTGCTCTCTGCTCGCTGCCCGCTGCTCAGATTACTTAATGGGTCTTGTTAAGTGATCAAGTGATCAAGAGATCGTTTAACAAATATCGATCCCATATATTATTATGCATGCACCAACCAGAGAAGTTTACATTGTAGCGGATGCAGCGGATTTCGCAAACTACGTCCATGTGTTGTAATTTATTTTTATGTAAAATATGAGTTGCCCTTAAGCCTTGCGTTGTGAAGCAGCTAATGATACGTGGACAATGGTGCGTCTGTAAATATGGGAAGGCATCGCATTTCATATATCTATCGATCTATCTATTACGAAGCAGCCAGTTAACGTCATGATAAGCAACGCCTGTTAACTGAACAAATTTTAAAAAACTACAGCTGCCGTTGAAATATAATAAATAATCGAAAACATAGAAACCGTTTTCCCCTGCTTTTCGAACAGTTAAAAAATGATTTATTGACAGTTATTGGAGAGGTTAAATACTTCCTGATTATAAAAAAAAATACATTAAACCATATATGATATATGATTTTTACGATTCCGACAAAGTTAATAAGTCATTAAACGGCTGGAAACGGCTATTTTGTCATTCGGATTAAGTCGGGTCTTAGTACACACCCACATAATTTTAAAAAATATTAGAAAATAAGCAATAGTCTTTTTTTAGAAATATTAAAAGTCTATGCTATTATTACAGAAGATGAAAATCGTTATTAGATCTTTAAAAATATTTATTGTAAACGTAAATTACTGTGATTGAGACTTTGGTTAAATATTGTTTGCAATTATTTGTTTAAACTTAGCCATTAAATATAAGCTACAAATCATTCAAATGTTCTTCACTTGACTTGACTCACTGGAACCATCACTGACTGGAGCATTTTAAGATAAATTTTGAAGACTTATCGAATATAGTAGCAATAACGCGACCACAACTTGTGGCATGTTCTTTCCCAAGCCTCGAACCTCCTAAAAGATTAAAAATTATTGGAATTTTCGGGAAATTTTCGTGAACAGAGCTACCTGTTTTGTACATATAATACTAGAATATCCAGAATTAGAATACAATTAAAAATAGCGTTCTTTTGTAGCGACATACGTTTTTCACCATTTTTAGTTTTTTAAAATAGTCTGAATAACTTGGCATACCACAAATTTATATCTCACTAGTACTACCAAGCTGACAGTTTAGCCCGCTCTGGTTTATATTAGCCTAGAGACCATTGAAAGAAGTACCTTCCTTTACTTACTGCAACTTGCCAATAACAGATGAAAAGCACTTAGGTCATGTGCGACTTCCAGATTTACATGGAAATCACGCAGAGAAACTGCGCATTCCCAATAACCCTCACTACAGAAGTTGTGGAACCCGCAGGAGAAAGAAACAATAATACCTTTTCTCTGTGAATGCCCGATCTTAGCGTTCAGAAGATATAGGTTCTTAGGAAAACACTTCTTTGATAGTCAGACTGCTCACCTATTACATTATCTAAATTCGTCGGGATGGATTTAGTCTCCTATACTACGGTTCTTACGAAGAATGTGGTAGCAAAAGGAGGAAAAATCGGTAATTGACTTACATGGAAGTTATATAATGGCCTGCCGCTGCAACCAACCAACCACTAGCATGAGTATTTGGTTTTAGTATCTTTCAATGTATTTGTTATTACAACTTTTTCTAAGTTATTAAGCTATTCTGTCGTCTCATTTCTTTTATTTACTGAAAAATTTATGTTTCAGTAAATATATATGTTTTATGAAAATGTAAATACAGGTTTATATTTGCTTGTATAGCACGCCATACCGCCTACCAATTTTAGATAGTTTGGAACTCCAGAACAAATAGACTTTTAAATATACAAACAAAGATGACAACTATGAAAACCATCGGAAGCGTTAAGGCCTGAATTTGAGACTTATGGAAGTCCTAATATATGCAGTATCACAAGCCCTTAGTCTTAGTTGATAATATGTTTCTACGGTTTGTAATCACAGACTACGATTCTTATTTAGATTTGTGCCATGCATAAGTTACTGTTGAAATTGGTAAGTTCGCAAGATGAAGTTGCAGCATTCCAAGTATTTTCTAGATTTTGTAGTTGTAATCAAAGCAACAACACGTATTTCCCATTTGTGGTTTTAACATCAAATGTGTGCAATTTAGCGATTGCGTGCCACAATGCGTGTTGCAGAATTTGTGCAATGCGCCACATTCACTGAGCTGCAAGGTTATAATTTAGCACAATTCCGTGTCCAGCAAAGTCCGTTAGTACTATTCCCAGAGCAATTTTGACAGCAACAACTACAATCCAAGGGAAATAATGTATGTTAAGTTTTCTAAGAAAAAATAATGAAAATTCGAACTTGCAACTTGACTGCAAGGCAGTTGTGGCATTGCAGCATGTGAAGCGCCTTTAAAAAATTCTAAATTCATTTAAAACCAGTGACGTGTTTTACTCAAATTTTTTGTCAGCAACGCGTTTGTGTCTGGAGTAGGAAGGCGTGGCGCCTTACTGGCATTGAACTTTAAATATAATAAATTATGATTTATATCATTATTAGAATTTATTTAATTATAAACACACAACTCATACTCATCGTAGATCGGCAAATTACAATCGAGGCACGAAAACATGCGAGCTTTCCGAAATGGACCGCTTTACTTTGTCCGGAACCACTGCATTCCAGGCCAGCGCTGGCAACGATTACCTTGAGAACAACTGCGCAGACGAGCCAAACAAATTGTGTGAGTTCAAGCGCTTATCCGGTAGAATCTTAAAAACTGTCGATTCCGTATATCAGGACGTGGCCAGCATTGAAGAGTGTCGAGATCTGTGTTTAAGTACACCTTTCAGGTGAGTACATACTCGTTTATTGCAGTTCTGTATGCAATTAAGCACATCTAAATAAGTTAAGTTGAGCTACTACGACTAATAAGTAGAGGCATAGCTAATAACCACACGCAATAGCAGCAAGCCAAGTAAGTTATTAAACGGGATTATTTAGTAAAATTCATAGTGAGCGATACTGCCACTTGTCATGTGTGCAAACTGCCACTGATTTGTGTAATGAAAGTAGATTTATAAGATTAAATAAATTAATTCAAGTCGACTGTATTCACTTTGATATGTAATATGCATAGCAGACACTCATAATGATGATTTATGCGTTATTGTATGCAAGCACGAGACTCTGGAGAAAATGATTAATACTTTTATTTAATAGTCCGAATATATTAATTCTTAAGCGCTTAATAAACAACATAATAAAAAAAATATTTTGCAGATGCCACTCATACGATTACGGCGATACTGGTGATATGGTTTGTCGTCTTTCCCATCATAATCGTGCCACTTTGACTGACATACAAAGTCCTTACTTAGATGTACCGGAAGCAGCTACTTATGAACTGTCATCTTGCTACAACGTGACCATCGAATGTGGTGCAAGTGATATGATTACACGCATCCGTACCTCCAAACTATTCGATGGCAAGGTGTACGCCAAGGGCGCACCAAAATCCTGTGCTGTGGATGTTAAAAGTGCGCTAGATTTTGAAATACGCATGGGTTATCAAGATTTGGAGTGTAATGTGCACCAGAGTGGTCCTGGCCGTTACATGAACGAAATTGTCATACAACATCATGACACAATAGTCACTTCATCCGATTTGGGCTTGGCAGTTACTTGCCAATATGACATGACCAATAGATCTGTAACGAATCATGTAGATTTGGGTATCAAAGGTGATATTGAACCAGCACTGTCCGAAGAAGTGATTGTCGATTCACCGAATGTTATAATGAAAATTACTTCACGTGATGGTTCTGATGTGATGCGTACAGCTGAGGTCGGTGATCCGTTGGCACTCAAGTTCGAAATACTTGACGAGTTGAGCCCTTATGAAATATTTGTACGAGAATTGGTTGCTATGGATGGTGCTGATAACGCAGAAATAACACTCATCGACTCAAGAGGTTGTCCAACAGATTACTTTATTATGGGCCCTATATATAAGAGTACTACATCCAATAAGATTTTACTCTCACATTTCGACGCTTTTAAGTTTCCATCTTCCGATTTAGTACAGTTCCGAGCATTGATAACACCCTGCATGCCGACTTGCGAGCCAGTGCAATGTGATGATGATGATATGACTGGAGGTTACAGGCCATTAACTTCATATGGTCGCCGAAGACGATCGGTTAATATAACTGGTAAAACTGAATTTTTTTTTATTATAATACTTCCTTATTAGAACTTTCCTACTTTCTTTCTAGCTACTTACCCAGATCTACGTAACAGTCGAGCCCTACGTGAAACTAATAAAAAGACAAATCTAGAAAACATGCTCTTAGTGCAATCAATCAAGATTACAGATAAATTTATTTTCGATAAACAAAAGGGATTAAAAGCAACTGATGCCGAAGAAGAGATATTAATTTCCAGCGATAGTTTAAGAGGGTTCTGTATAAATGGCATTGGTAGGTTTTAACTTTATATGGTATGAAGTTGAAGAAATTTGAATAATTTTGTTTTTATTTTATCAATTTAGGTCTTGTTGTCGCTGGTACAATATTTTTGCTGGCTCAGTTGGCAGTAATTGCTATTTGGACTTTCCTTTATCAGAGACGTAAAAAGGAACGTGGTTACTCTTCGAGTAAAGATCATAAAAGTAACTCCTCAAATTTTTCCACGCAAAGCAGCTCCACGAGGTCGAAAATTGCATCTAACGGACGCGCTGAGTCTTTAAATAAATTGTATGATAGTGGCTTCGCTGGCCGTCATGGACGTCATTTTTGAGACTTATTAGATATAAAGTACACATCATCAGTTTAATTCACTAATAGCGTCAAATTTCATATGCCAATAGTTTTTATTCAAATATTTAAAAATTCTTTAATTTGAGTCCACTACAATATTTTATAAATATTGCTAGAGTAAAAAATTTAAAAATAATTATGGAATTTCTAAATTTTTTGCTAAAGATGACAACATCGCGAAACAAAAATACATTTTAAAATAAATTAATTAGTATAAGTCGACTAGTCATAAGTACTTACATATAGTTTAAATTATTTATCGAACTAATTTATTTAAAAAATAATATTAAAATAAATTTACTCATTAGCAGTCATTTGTTTTTAAATAGAAGAATCTTTATTTCAATGGTAAAAATTATAAATTTGGAAAGACAGGATTGAAGTCGGATATTTTGTTCATTTACTCAAAAAACAGGCTTAGAACATTTAGTCGATATTTCTTAAGCCAAAAAGATTAGAAGTATTGATATTGTTTGCCTTATCAATTATCTTAATTTGCCCAGATTAGCTTAGGCCACTTACTCCAAAAATCTTATCATTGATCTCATATGACGCGTTGCATTATTGTTTCTTTTAATAGCCAAAATAGCACATTTTATATAATAAATATTTCTAATATATAATTGTATAATATATAATTTTTTATAGTTCTTACCATTAGCTTCCATGTTTATGCTCATAACACCATTTGTGCATGATCCTACAGTCGATAAATGAATGGCTGTGACAAATCACAATTAGCTTAAGTAGTTCTATACAATAACCACTAATAAAAATTATAGCAAGGATTGGGTTTTGAAACTTTTGGAGGAGGCGGCAAGAGAGTTACATGCGAAGTCTCAATTTTGCTATTACAAAGCTTAACCCTTCAGACCATTGGACTAAAGAGTACCCAAGTGGATATAAACAAGCAGTCCGCAGAGAGAAGGGAGTAAATATGCTAGATGATATTAACTGCAAACAAATAGCAACATTCACACTGACTAAAGATGTCTGATAGTTTAAAAACAATAGAGTGTCGTTATGTTATCATAGATCCATCGACTGAAGGATGGAAAGGTGCTAAAGAATATTAACTCCAAAAAAAGAATAACAAAAAGATGTAATGTATTATAACAATACATATAAAATTGGATTGTTATGAATTTTAAGATTATTATATGATTTTTTTGGGGTTGAGTATTTTAAACCAATATTTATTTATGCATCTAATATTTTTAAGAGTTATATTATAAGTAAGTAATTAAATATAAAATAATAGAATATAATATTGAATATAGCTAATATAGCATACTTAATTACAAACTTCATAACGACTTATTGATTTTTTCAGTACTAATAATTATCATAACTGAAAAGTGCTAACAAGCGATTAGATCTTTAAAATGCAGGAAATGAACAATCTACAGGAATAGATTATTTTATTAAGTTTACTAAACTACTATTATAACATAATAGATATTAATTTCATTATCTAGTAATTACAGTAATGGCGGCTACATAAACATTTGTATTTTCTTATTATCGTTATTATTTTTTTGATTTACAACAGAGAAAAAACACATAAATGATTGAATAAAAATTAATTAGAAGGAAAATATAATTATTGAACATATGTTGCTTTTTATATTGCTATTGAATTATAATTTCCCACCACTATTCACAAAGATAGGAAATTAGTGACAACACATATAATATAAGTATTTGTAGTATTCCAAATGCCATCAAGTAGATCGAACCATTAGCATATTCGAGTACCCGTTCTTAATGAGTTGAGTTAATTGATTTATTGTTACTATTCGCTCATTTTTGTATATTACATATGGGTATTTAAAAACTCAGAGTATCGAAATTCGTTGTCACATCACCTATTTTATTAGAAGTTCTCAAATCCAGTACAATAAATATAGTCAGAAAAACTTTGATATATGAAACCGTAAGAACTGCTTAAAGAGAGTGTGTTAAATATAGCAGATTAAAATTGAGAGCAAATAAAGTAATAACGTCCCAGAAATATATTGACCTTACTTGGTTCTGAGAACTATACTACTGTATTTATTGAAACGAGGCATAAATTATTAATTCACTGCTGTAGTACTGTACTGTATGATATTATTTAAAGAAAATATTGGTTAAACATTAACAATATTTATACCCAGATGTTATACTGTTATAAACCGTAATATCAATGTTCGTTGATCATATTTTTGTTGTTTTAGTGCAGTTGGCTAGCACTTATTTTAACTTATTAGAAAACGTCCCTGTTTTCAGTGCAACCAAATAGTTTTTAACTACAGTTAAGATGTAGTTATTGTAATTAACTTGTGATTGTGTACATGTATGTTATGTATGTAATGTATGTAAAAGTAAGTAGTTTAAAAATTTTTATAGTTATTATTAATCTCTAGAAAAAACTTAACTAAATTTCAAATTCGTTAATAGTAATTTATGGAAAAATTGAATTAATTACTAGACAAGAGTGGCCTTCCCTTGTCAATATAATATGAACATTTTAAACCCTTTGTCTGGTAAGTTTTAGTGGCAGTAGTGTTTTCTCTACCTCTATTACTGTGCAAATAGCTATGAAATCTACTTCCTGCATTAATAAAGGGAACTATTCTTGGTATGTTATTAGGATATTCGCCAGGCTTATGAGTTGGTAATCTTGTACTGGTAATTATTTTAGTACATTCTTTATATTTTCATCTGATATATAACTAGAACGTATTCTCTTTTTTCATGTAATGTAGTACAGAGATAAATTAATAGTTTTAACTCATGTTTCCTCTATCTTACATATGTATATATGATATCTTCTCACAAAGTTTTGTTGATGTTTATGATGACATACTTAAGTCCAAATTCTCTACTTTTAAAATGCAGATTTAATGTTTGTTGGATATATATCTCATTACTGAAGTTGTTTTCTAACTACTATTGCAAAACTTTTCTATTAATTTTTTTTTTTTTGATCAATTCAAAAGTCTCTTAATTCATAAAATTAAACAGTGACGGACTGTTAGAGGTTGTTTACTGCATATCCAGAGCCGCATTTATTATTAATTATTCAATTGCAAAAAGTTTAAATGCTTTCCTTTTCTTTGTTAGGAGCTGACAGAGATGGTTGATAAATTCCGCATTCATTTTAAGAAATCATTTCCTGCTTTATTTTTTCCAGCAATACCCGAGGCAAGTGCCAATGACTGTGCCAATTGAGTCCAGCAGTCGAAAAGGTTTGCTTAAATGTGGGCGTCTCTTAGGAAATCAATGAAACAAACATTGCAGCATCATAAGTGTAAGTAAGTAAGTAAGTAAGTACGTAAGTAAGTTTGCGTAGAAGCACGAGAGGCGGAAGAAGTTAAGTAAGATTTTATTTCATTGAGTACTTTTTGTCGTACTTGAAGCGAGTAAAAACAAGGAGAATCATTATGTAATCATAGCCACAGGCAGATATTTAGATTTTTCTTTTTAATTCCAGATACTTAAGCAGATATTAGTTTTTATTGAAGTGGTAACTGCAACGTTTGTTCTTGCAACTTGTAACGATTAATGATGAGAGGAATAATGAGTAACCTGAAATAGCTGAATACGGTTACGACTCTTTTCGCAGTTATAGTTAACATTTGTTTAACTTGCCTAATAGTTTTATTTCTCTGTTTAAGAATTAAGTTTAGAAAGCTGTTGGCCTTATCGCAATAGTCCACTTCAATATATCAATATATTCGGGCAATAATCTACGATATTCTAAGGCACTTCATTGTTATTTTATACTTCATATGAATAACATTTATGAAAAAGTTATAAAACAAAAGTATAATGTCAAAGGCAATGTTTAAAAATAATATGTAGTATCATATTGTTATTGTTGCACGATATATACAGTGGCTCACAGCTTATTTCGTGCAAGCAATATTTTTGTAGATTTAGTCGTGAAAATCCAAAATTTTGTTCAAAATAAAAAATTTTAAATATGCAACTTTAAAGAATGTTTAGTTTTTATTATAAAACAAAAAAAAAATTTAGCAAAAATATCAATATTCAAGAAGTTAAGTGAACAAAAACAAACATACACCAAATTCTGACCTCACAGCTTATTTCGTGCAATACATTTTTTTTTAGAAAATTAATAATTTTTGGCATAAAAAAGTGAATTTTAGTATTTAGTGGGATAGTCCTTTTGTTTAATTACTGCCTCCAACCTTGAACGCATTGAAATAACTAATTTTTGAGTATATTCCACTGACATTTTTTGCCATTCCAATTTTAAAGCAGCTTTCATACTTTCCTTGCTATAAATGTTATGTTTTCTTATGTTAGTTTCCAGAATATGCCATAAATTTGCTATGACACTAAAGTCAGGTGATTGGGGAGGTGTTTGGATGATGTGTGGACAATTCCCAACAAGCCAAGACTGCACAAGACCCGACTTGTGCTTCAGATCGTTATCCTGGTAAAAACAGAAATTGTTAATTATGCCTAAATATTCGGCACTTTTATGCAAATTTTGCTTTAATATATTAAGATACACTTCTTTATCCATTGTTGATTCTATAAATTGTAGATTACCTACTCCTGCCGCTGATTTACACCCCAATACTATCACATGCCTGCCGACGGTTTCGCATGCAGTTTACCAAACACCACCTGTACAAGAATAGTTCTTTCTGAAACGCAGTATTTTTTGTCAATTAGAGTAAATTTAATCTCTACGCTTCAGATGGTAAATCATATGTGAAATACTATTAAACATACGCCAAATATATCACATACTAAGCTCCAAAAAGAAAATTTATATGGCACAGTTAAACACGGTGGCAAGCATGTGATAGTATTGGGGTGTAAATCAGCGGCAGGAGTAGGTAATCTACAATTTATAAAATCAACAATGGATAAGGAAGTGTATCTTAATATATTAAAGCAAAATTTGCATAAAAGTGCCGAATATTTAGGCATAATTAACAATTTCTGTTTTTACCAGGA